AGTTCTCCGGGCTGAGTCCGGAGCGCCCTTCTTTTGAGAGCTGTGCGTGGGTGGGTGGAGCTGTCGCGCCAACACCCCACTGCCTTCGAGTGCTTAGTTTTGGATTCAGGCAGCCTTTAAATTTTTTTATTTTATTTTTAAAGTTAAATTTTAAGGAACAACGTCTAAAGCGTACTTCCTTTAAAAAGGGGCCTGTCGGCCTTAGCTTGCAGTCTGATCGACGGTCCAACAGGGGGCGCCCAAGCCCCGCACCGCACCGTGCGCGCCGCTGGCTCCCCGCTGGTCCTGGTCTCTGTGCTGCGCCACCTGGGGGACCGCAAAGCTTTCCAGGAGCCCTTGGCTCTCATCCTTCGATCTCAGGAAAAAAATTGACACGTAAAAACCATGATTTTCAAATTGCTACGGATAATGAGGAATGTTACTACTGGGAGTATGTCATACAGGTGCAGAGGAAGAAAAAGGGTTGACACTTTGCCCCTCCCAGGGTCTTGGACTTAGTAAGTTTTAAACCAAATTAAAGAATTAATTTATGTTAACTTATTAAAGTTAACGTAAATTAGCTTCTTTATAAGTTTTAAGTCAAATTAGGAATTCTCTTTAGAGTGAAATTTTAGCTATCAAAGGAGAGGTTATTTTGGAGGGCATGAGATTTTTCAAGTTCAGGCACTGAGATTTCAGGCCTTCTGACTCCGGAGTCAGTCACCCATCCCTCCCACACAACATCCCCACTGCTGGTGGGTGCACATCGGAAACTCGAGCGGAGTGGCACTGGCTAGACGTGGGCAGACAGGCTGCAGGAATGACCGAGGGTGCAGGGAGGGCCCACAGAAGAGGGCTGGGACCTCTTTGATGGATGACGGGGCAGGAATGGCACGGATGGGCCTTCAGAAGGCAGGTTGCGTGTCCTCTCCTCTCCCGTTTCTCCATGAGCTGGTACAGTCTGCCTGTGGCATCATACATGATTCTGGCCCGATTCTGCCCGTGCGACCCGAGACAATGACTCCACCTCCCTGGGCCTCAGTTTTCTCGCCTGTAAAATGGTGTTGGTGCAGAGGGGTTAGCCATCGAGTGTAAATGTTTCATAGCAGAAAGCTTCCTAAGACATTTTTTTCTGATCTAAGCTCCTTGCCCTTTAATTTTTCTCATAAAACTTCCTTTCTGGACCCTGGGTCTCCCAGCTCCCCCTGGATGAACATATTTAACTGTCTTAAAACACATTGCCCTAAACAAAGACAGTGTCCCAGACGCCATTCTTACAGGGACTCTCAGACTCAGTGCTGTGTAATTGTATTTTTTGTGATAAAGGCAACTCATTAATTGAACACCTCAGTATAATTTAGTGTTTCTAACTTTGTAAGATTTTTTGGTAGAATAAAATCTTAAATAAGAAAGACATGTAACAGAGAAGAACAAACCTGAAATATACATGATGGCGCATTCTCAAGACTCTGACCTTCAAAGGGTCAGAGACCCTTTGAAGAGTTTTTATTCACATAGAGGTAAGAAGTTGCAGAACAGAGAATAGCATTTGTCTTGTTAGAGGTTTACAGGAACATCATGACCTGACTTACAGGGACAGCAGCAAGAACAAAGGATTCCAGCACCAAGAAGTTTACAACAACTAACCACGCCCCCTCCCCTTTTAGTATAAAAGAAGCCTGAATTCTAGTTCGGGTAAGATGTTTCTTTGGGACACTAGTCCACCATCTCCTCTGTCTGCTGGCTTTCAGAGTAAAGTTGCTAGTCCTTGACCCAACATCTCATCTCTCAATTTACTGGCTTGTCATGTGGTGAGCAGTATGAGCTTGAACTCAGTAACAGACATATTTTGTCCCAATTTACAGAGATGTGGTCACTTTCAGCTATTCTACCTTGTCCGTATGGGCCCAACATCCCAGGCTTTATAGCTTTTTCTGGCTCTTGATTCTATCCCTCACAGTGGATGACGAGCTGGTACAGTTTAGTATTGGAAGAGACCTTGGAAATCAAGCTGATCCTCTTATTTTTGTGTTATTTGCAAAACTGATAAGCATATCTTCCATGCCTTTAAGAAAATACTTAAGAGATTTAAATGTGTCAGAGCCATGCTGCCATAGGGGAGACCACTGCTGGAGACCTCCTTCCAGGCTGACATCATTTATTAACCAACACTCTTGTTTGTGGTTGCTCAACTAGCCTTGAGTTTACTTATTTGTACTATGGAAGCGTCTACAATTCTTTTTGTCTACATAAAGATCAGGAAATACTTTCTCAAAGTTCTGTTCTCAAAGTCGATATCAGAACATTCTCCTTTTTAATGGTGTCAAATTTTATATTATAGTCAGTAACAGTTCAGCTGAAGGCTAAACTTGTATACAAACTAGATAGCAACTATGCGATTGTGTGTGCATGTGTGTGTGTGTGTGCACACACGCATACCCACAGGGGCATGTGCACTGGAGGGAAATAGACCAACACCTTGGTGGTGGTTAGATTAGGAAGATGGATTATAAATCTTCTTAAAATTTACTGTTAAGATTATACTACTTTTAACATTTAAAAAATACTAATCATAACTTTTTAAACCATCAAGTGAAAGTACATCTGTTTCCCGGCACCTTCCGTTTTTTTTGTGACTCTCACGATGTCTGTCCTGGAAGTGGTCTGGGCAGTGTTCCCGAGTCCTCAGAAGGAGCAAGCTCACTCCCCACGGGGAGCGTGTTTGGTCAGTGATGGATGAGCAGCGGTTTTTCTCGAGCTCCCGGGATGCAAACGTGTCCCGTGTTGACGATGGAGACCTTCTGATTATTCTGCGTTGGTGGACCCACTCCGGCACTCCAGGCAGTCACCTAGCTGATGTTTATCATTGGTTATAGAGCAGGTGAGGGAAAGAGCACACACTGGCTCAGAACAGGATGATTTGGGGGATATGAATTTGTTTTGTTCTCTGGAATTTTCTTTCCCCTACATTTCCCAAGAAAGGAGCTAGGACTCCTTATGTTTGTAGAGACCAAAGGCAGAAGCCCCTTAAAGACAACCTCTCTTCCTATTTGTTTGATGTCCGCTTTCACCAAGAGTCTAAACTCACTGAAGAGATTATTTGAGGTTTCTAGAGCTGGATGGAGATGAGATGAGTGTCTTTTCAGGGGGAAAGGGGGCTGTAAAGGGAGATAGGCCAGAAATTCCCAGAGACTGGCTGGTCCCTCCAGCAGCGGGGACCAGCCACTGGGGAATCCTGTCACCCAGACTTCCTGAGCAGGAAAGAGTAGCAGAATGTGGCCGGCCACTGACCCTCTGCTCTGGTCAAGACGGACTTGAGGCTACAGGCCTGCTTGTGTTTGGGGGTGCCACAAAAGCCTTCCCAATTCTTTTGCTACCCTAGGCAAGGGACTGGAATTCCTGTAATGACAGAGTCAGAATTTCCTGCTAGCTCAGTGGAATGGCAAGCTCCATTTTATTTGATTTATTGAAAATAAAGAAAGGTGATACTTCCTGCACCCTTGGGCTAGTGGCTAATTAATTCCTGAGACAGTTGTGAATTCACTGCAGGCCTGGAACGCAATTCAGATGGATAGGAAATCAATGTCTAATTGTTTCCTTCCTCTTCGTTCTGAAGCATTCACAAGTGATAGGCGCTGGGGATGCCACGGAGAGAGGATAAGAGGACACAGCCCATCCTCAGGAGCCCGTGGTCTGGGGAGGGGACAGCCGCATGGTGTGAGGGGGTCTCTGAGGGAGGAGCGGAGAAGGGGTCGGAGGAGGGGATGCAGTCCTGCCTCCCCCTCCTTGGCCAGGGCTGTTTTGATTCTGTGCTGGTACCTTGCTGAGCATCACCTTGGAAGTTGCTAATGCACACAGTGGGGACTTGAATGAGATACAGGGAAATTTTAAATTGGATTAAATGAGTGTAGCTCAGGTCAGTTGTCGGTGCCCGGAGTGTGTTGCTCCAGAACTGGGGCCCCATCAGGTGACTCTGCCCCCCCCCCGGCCCTCTTCTCTTGCCAGCCCTAACTTTCTCTTGCCAAATTTGCATTTCTTGAGGGCCTCTGTGTGTGGACAGCACTGAACTAGGTGAGAATTGGACCAACTGTGAACAAGATGAATCCAAGGGTGGTGAACAAGATGACAGTCCGACTGTCCTTTCTCCTGTGGAGGGTCCGCTGGACCTGCTGCCTCCAGGAAACCACAGAGGATGCTCTGACCTTAAAGCACATGAGAACTGCTAGATGAGGGCCCTAAAGGACATAGTCATTATTCCTTTTTAAAACTGAGGTGCAATTGACATATGACATTATGTTGGTTTCAGGAGCACAACATAAGGATTTGATATTTGTATACATTGTGAAATGACCACCACAGTAAGTCTAGTTAACACCCATCACCACACATGGTTACAAAATTTTTTTTCTGTGATGAGAACTTTTAAGATCTACTCTTTAAGCAGCTTTCAAATATGCAATACAGTATTGTTAACTCTAGTCACCATGCTGCACATTATATCCCCAGGGCTTGTTTTTATAACTGGGAGTCTGTACCTTTTGACCCCCTCGTGTTCACTATTCTGAAGCTCCAAGTCCAAAATGAAGGATGATGGAGGAACACTGCGTAGGAGAAACTTTCACCAGCTTCCATGTTGCATGTTTTCATATGTGGTTTTTCCCTTTCACACAGCTCTCCAACCATGAGAAAACTAGCTCAGAACATTCAGAAGTTGTCTGGGTTCATCTTCTCTCAATTGCCCTGCATCTCTTTGCGAGAGAGTGAATTAATAAGTCAGGAGTTAGGACCCAGAGATATTTCTCAGACTTAAACGATCTGACAGCCGACTAGAAATCAATGAGGTGTGCTTTCAGAGACGTCGCGCTGACGTGAGCTGGTTCAACCCTATTTTACCCTCTCCAGGTGTCCACTTTCCCCGGGTTCCGCTCTGAACTTTGAAGCACTGCATTTTCTTGTCCCTTCCGATGGAAATACCCTCTTGTTACAAAGGAAGGAATTATCGTTCTCAAGCTGACATCATGATGCTGGCAGACTTTATCCTGCTGCTCAGCGCCCTCCGTGTCACCAGCTCAGGTAAGCTCAAGCTAAAATAAATGAAAACTTGATCATTGTTAGTGCTGATAATGTTAGAATTACAAAATGTAATGTGTAGGTATCTTTAGGATAACCTCTAAAATGTGGCTCCGATGAGTAAGTCTTTGAAATCTGTATATTGCTAAAGAAATCATATCTATGAATTCCATAATGTTTATGCTTTTGTCATTTATTGCGTTATTCCTTTTGAATTGTTATCAGCTTGGTACAAAGATATAAAAGCAGGGAAAATCTTACCAAATGCACTGAATGGTACTCAGAATTGTTAAAATATTTAGTATAGGAATTGACTATATCAACATTTTAATATCCTATCTATTAACAATCACTATATCTGTGTGCAGATAATTATCCAAAATATCATGTAGACATAGAAATATTTTCATAAATTTGTGTATGTAGGTATATTTAGTATGTATGTACAACAGAATTAAATGAAATATATATCAAACGTCTATGAACCTGTGTGAGTCTTCTGTGACTATTATCCACCAGAAAATAGAGGAATTCTTAATAAAGAATGGGGGCAAATAAAAGGAGAGAGAGAGTGAAAAGGAAAGAGGGAGAAAATAACTGAAAAGTTTAGGGAAAAATGGTCATTGTCACCTGCCAGTTTTCTGGGTTTTGGAATCATTTCACTTTTCCTGTAACTTAAGAACAGAACGCTCTTCCATGACACCAGAAACCATATAGAGCCAGGAGCCAGATGGTGAGAAAACAGTGTTATTTCTTTAGCAATTTGTATTTATTTGTCACTAGTATTTTTGCCACATCTGATTATTGTAATTTTCAGATAGAGAACCAGAGGCACTGAGATAGATTTGCCCAAGTCCTGAAATAAATCCTGGAATTAAAAGTCATAAGGCTGCGAGGCATACACACCTGAATGTCATTATATCTTCAAAAATGTAGCCTTTGCTACGTACCTGGGGCTCAGAAACACGCAGTCACTTCTAAGTGCAGAGAGTGGCAAACCCACTTTCAAATATCATTAAATTTGGTCTCTGCAAAGTCTTAAGTGCAACTTGCCAATCGTAAAAATAATAATCAACTTCTGTGTGTTTTAACATGCAATTAATCATGAAAATAATAATCAGTCTCTGTACAATTAATGTCTGGTGTTTTTCTGCCTTAATTACGAGAGCATTCTATTTCCTATGAAAGAATTGATTCCTACCATTCTGCCCACAGAGAAACCACCCCCTGGTTAGCAGGGGCAGTTAGCGCGAACCCTCTGGCTCACCTCTGACCCCTCCTCTGTGCGTTGTAAGTTACACAGAAAGTTGGAATCGGAGGAGGGCCTGATCACACTTCTTCCCCGTGTGGGCTGCAAGAGTTTGGGAATGTAGACTGAGCTGTATACATCCATCACTGATCTATAACAAATCCATGTAGTAACCGGCAGTAACTCTGGAATTTGTCAGTGGTTCTAGATCCACTGGAGCCGATTGCTAGTTTTAGATCTGCACCACCTTTCCTTAAGTTCTTTAACTTGGCTACTCATTGTAAAGAAAATAGTTTCTTTTTGTTACACAAGACTACCTTTTTCAAATTACAAGGGACAAGCCCTCATCTCTGCATTTCTGGTTTTGGTGGCAGGATCATTGTCATGGCCACGCTTTGTGTCTGCTCCCAGAAATAGGGACTGTGTCTTCTTCATCTTCCCATCACTCTTACCACCTGATGACGTGTGTTATTCATTCAAAAATATTTATTGAAGATCTACCATATTGTAGTAATCGTTCCAGTATGTGGGATGCAAGGAGGAATAAAACAAGGTTGTTTTAAGAAATTTCATGCTAGCAGGAAGCCATGAAATATTTATTATTTGAGTCCACCCTGAGGGCTAGCTCTGCGTGTCGGCAGAAGAGGCTATTTGTGGTATGATTTTTTTTGGACGAGGTGATGATAATGAAAGGCAAACCCCAAATATACCAAAAAGTGTCAAACAAAAAATACGCCTCTCCCAACCATACTTGCTGAGGTTTGAAATTCTTCAATTACTTCTTTACTCTCCTAGCTGAGGATAAACAATGGTATTGTTTTCAATAAAGTCGTAAATAATCATGGGAAGTTTCATCCATTAAGTTTTTTTTATTGAAGTAGTGTTGTTTTATAATATTATGTAACTTATAGATGTACAATATAGTGATTCACAATTTTTAAAGGTTATAATCCATTTATAGCTACTATAAAATGTTGGCTATATTCCCCGTGTTGTACAATATATCCTTGTAGCTTATTTTATACCTAGTAATTTATTCATCTTAATCCCCTCCCCCATGATACCCCTCCCCCCTCCCCACTGGTGACCACTAGTTTGTTCTCTATATCTGTGAGTCTGCTTCTTTTTTGTTATATTCACTAGTTTATTGTATTTTTATCATCTATTAAGTTTTATCAATTATTTATACTTTGGTGTAAGAGAGTTTGCCAAAATTTTGCTGAAAGCAGTTGTTGATATGGGGGTGAGGAGAGAGCAGAGGGTCTGAGCACCTGAAGAAAGGTAAGGACACAGGAGCATGAAGAATAAAGAGACCAGAAACTCAAGTCGTGGGTTCCAAAGAAAAATTTGTCTCAAGCTGTTTCTGGGCGCCCCATCCAAATCTGTCGTGATTCTACTCACTGGGGTCGAGAGAGCCCTAAGCTCCTCCCAGGGAGTGTCTAGTCCCGGGGTAGCTTTGGTCACCATTACCTGGACGCCTTCTCTGCTGCAGCCAGGTGTGAAGGGCTGTTCTCGAATCAAGGGCGCATCTCAATCTTGATCTCTCTGTGTATCTTTGGAACAGCAGATATGGCATTAAGAGGTCACGTTTGTGGCTGTCTCATGGACGTAAAGAACCTAGAAGCACTGGGCGTGTGAGTGGCTGGACCTTCCCCATCACTGCTCCCTATTTTCACTGGGAGAGGTTAAAGGTCTTACTTGAGATCACACAGCCTGGAATCAGGACCAGATCTCTCGTCTCTGGGTCTGAGTCCAGGGCCTCTCAACGTTGAATAAATATTCATTGGACTCTCGTTCTAACGAGTGATGAGTTTGGCAGGAGACTCGGTGTCCTGAGCCAAGAGCAGCGCACCCTCCTGCAGCTCTGCCCCAGCCCAGTTCCACGTGGAGGAAATCACTAGAATCAGGCAGGGCACTGCATCTCTGTCTGTCTGTCCGTCTGTACACATTTGCTGTCTGTCTCTCCCTCTTCTTGCCCTCTGCCTGCGGGGCCGCTTGTCTGGTCCCAAGGGAAATATTTTGACAAAGAAAAATGAGACAAAGATTAAGTAGGGATGGGACTGCCCTGGTGGTCCAGTGGTTAGGACTCTGTGCTCTCACTGCTGAGGGCACTGGTTCAATCCCTCTTTGGAGATCTAAGATCCTCCAAGCAGCACAGCACGGAAGCAAAAAAAGATTAAAAAATTAAGTAGGAAGAAGAGAAGAAAGGGGGAGAAAGATGTTTCAGGAAGAAACAAAAATTCCTTTTTTACCAAAAGAGATGGTGAAAAGCATCTCTAACAGGCAGCACGCATCCTCTGAAGATGTGCGTTAAACCTAGTGTGTGTTGTGTGTGTGTGTTTTGCAGAGGGACTGCAGGGAAATGCGGGGAGACCCTTGTCTGGTCTGAAGCAGGGTGGCTCTGCTCTGTGACTGTAAAGCACTGGACGTCCCCCTCCCCAGAGAGTGACCCCAGACCAGTGCCTGTTCAAGAGTCCCCCCAACCAACCCCGCAGCAAAGCAGCCTGCCAGGTGCCACCTGCAGCAGAGGGAGATTCCAGGGAGGCGGGGTGGGCGATTACAGAACACCCTCAGCAGGGTCGAGTGTCTCCCCTTGACCAAACAAATACTACCCGGGACCTGGTTTTAGAGCACCATTCTTCCCCGTGATAGACAGCTTGAAGCAACAGTTTGGAGAATGCAGTGCCAACAACACAGCAGCAGAAAGAGCAGTAACAACCAATATGTGTTCATAGAAGTGAATTGGAACAGTTTTTATGTGGCAGTAAGACCATGGTGGAGGGAACAGTGTTTTTCCTCCTCAATCCTCAGTGAACTTCATGGGACGGTGGAAAGATGGCAGCTTGGGATTCAGAAGACCAGACCACACCCCCATTCGCTGGGTGACCCCTCGCAGGTCCCCTGGGTCTGCACCCATAAAATGAGGGGCTCACATCACCATAAAAGTCCCTTCTGGCTCTGTCGTCTTCACGTCTTTATCATTTCTCTTTTCTTCCTCTTTAATTAATGCTGAAATTATTTACGAGTACAAATGTCCTCCCGTCCCTCCCCTAGGAAGCTGACTTTGGGGACTGCAAACCCCCATGGCAGAGGCGGGTGGGAGCCTCACTCATCTTCCAAGAGCAGTTTCCTGACTTGTCAATGAATCATTGAGATGTATCTTAGAATAGTGGTCTTGTCTAATTAAGCTGAAATAGAAGTCCATTAGCAAAAATTTGGTTTACACACAACTTTTCAGGAATCCACTTTTTTCTTTTCTTAATGTATTTTTTAAATTTTATTGAAGTATAGTTGGTTTACAATGTTTTGTTAATTTCTGTTGCACAGCAAAGTGATTCAGTTATACATGTATATATTCTTTTTCATGTTCTTTTCCACTATGGTTTATCCCAGGATATTGAATATAGTTCCCTGTGCTCTACAGTAGGACCTTGTTGTTTATCCATCCTATATCTCATAGTTTGCATCTGCTAACCCCAAACTCCCACTCCACCCCTCCCCTCCCCACCCACCTTGGCAACCACAAGTCTGTTCTCTATCTATGTCTGTGAGTCTGTTTCTGTTTTGTAGATATGTTCATTTGTGTCATATTTTAGAAGGAATCCATTTATTTCTTAAGAGACCACTTGTCCTGGAAATCCTGAGAACATCTGTGGCTCCACATCCTCTGGAGCCGTGAGCCGGTCTCCCGTGCATAGAAAGTGCCATTATAGCCTTTTGTGCATTTATTCATTCATTTGCTCATTCACTTAAAGTCATCTAATGTTTACTGAGGCCTTAGCCTCAAAGAATCAACATGGAAGCCCTTGCCCTTCCTCATAACATTCTATTTTACAAGAAGAACAAACCAGAAGCAGTTCTGGGCCTGTCTCTACATCTGCTCCAATAACATCAGTGACTTCAGCTTCTATTTTGGGAAAGATATTAGGCAGAAAACATTCAACCTTTGGCCTTTTTCTTTTCTTTTTTGGTAAGGTCTGTTTTAGGCAATGCAGATTTGTACTAGCCAGCTCAGGCCACCATAACAAAATACCACAGACTGGGTGACTTAACAGAAATTTATTTTCTCACAGTTCTGGAGGCTAGAAGTCCATGATCTAGGTGCCAGCAAACTCGGTTTCTGGTGAGGGCTCTCTTCCTGGCTTGTAAACTGCTGCCTCCTGGCTGTGTCCTCACATGGCCTTTCCTCTGTGCTTGCTTGGGGAGAGATCTCTGGTTTCTCTTCCTCTTCTTATGAGGACCGCAATCCTATTGGACTAGGGCCCCACCCTGATGACCTGATTGAACCTTAATTGCCTCTTTTGAGGCCCTGTCTCCAAATGCAGTCACGCTGGGGGTTAGGGCTTCAACATATGGATTTGAAGGGACACACATCCAGTCTGTAAGAGCCAGTACAGAGCTAGGCCTTTTCCTCCTTGACTCAGATGGCAGCTCACCCTCTGACATGGGCAACAGGGTCAAAACAAACACACGGGTCTCTGAGAGCAGATGTGCTTGCTTCCCTCTGGACGCTGGTGAGGGGGTGGCAGGGGCTGGGGAGGTCAGGTCATAGTCTTAGGAGATCCTTCCCAACATGCAACTCCCACTGCCTCCAAACTGACAGTAAAGTTATCCTGCCAGGAAGGAAGGTCCAAGGTGCAGTCTCAGGATCCTTCTCACATGTCCAAAATGATGATAATGCAGGGCTGTCCCAGATAATAAGCCCATGGTGTGCATGTGTGTGTGTGTGTGTGTGTGTGTGTGTTATGTGTATGGGGTGTGTGTGTGTGGTGTGTGTGTGGTATGTGTTGTATGTGGTGTGTGTGTGTGTTATGTGTATGGGGTGTGTGTGTGGTGTGTAGTGTGTGGTGTGTGTGGTGTGTTGTATGTGGTGTGTGTGTTGTATGTGGTGTGTGTGTGTGTTATGTGTATGGTGTGTGTGTGGTGTGTAGTGTGTGGTGTGTGTGTGGTGTGTTGTATGTGGTGTGTGTGGTGTGCGTTGTGTGTGGTGTGTGTGTGTTATATGTATGGTGTGTGTGTGGTGTGTGTGTGTGGTGTGTTGTATGTGGTGTGTGTGTTGTGTGTGTTGTGTGTGTGTGTTATGTGTATGGGGTGTGTGTGTGTGGTGTGTGTGTGGTGTGTAGTGTGTGGCGTGTTGTATGTGGTGTGTGTGGTGTGTGTGTTGTATGTGGTGTGTGTGGTGTGTGTGTGTGTTTAGACATCGTGCAGTTGTCCTCAGCCTTCCTGGTGTACCTCCACCACCTCAGTGACTTGTTCTCATGGGCTGAGCTGGGACACAGGGATTTAGGAAGGTCACAGCGTCCTGACTGTAGGGGAGCCACGAGGGGAGGGTTTAAGCTGGCGCCGTTTAGCATCTATACAGGGAAGAAGGTCGAGTAGCTGGTAGGCAGGTACTTGCAGGCCCAGCGCAGAGCCCAGCACACAGCGTTTTCCTCCTTAGGGGAGGGGCTGCCTGCGCAGGGACGGGGACGGCGGGCGTGGAGGACAGCCGCGGCCCCCCTGCTTCTCCTTCTCCTGGGGGGTCCGGCTCCAGCCCAAACTCTCCAAGGCTACTCGGCAAACACATGCCAACTAACTGCGCTGCTATCTCGGCAGCCACTGTGCCGGCACTGTCCTGAGCGCTGGCATGCTGTGGGGGAGCCAGACAATAAACAGAAGCACACACAGCACCATCAAGAGCGCCGATGCGGGATAAGGTACCCACATTTAAAGGTACAGTGTATGAAGTACATACGCAGTGTGCGGAAGGATCCTTAGATGGTGTAACCTCAGTGACCTCTTCAGGAGGAGACGTCAGCAAGGCAGGGCTCCCTAGGGCAGGAGCTTCCCGGGCAAGTTCTGAAAAGTGCAGACGGGCTGAGGCCTGGGGACGAGGGGCAAGGCCAGAGTGGGAGAGGGTGGGCACCCTCTAGGGCCTGGGAGGCCACGGTAAGAACTGGGGGTGTTTTTCTAAGTTTGAGGGGAAACCATGGGGGTGATTTGAGCAGGAAATTGACATAATCCTCTTCTGCTTTTAAGCAACGGTCTAGCTGCTGGAAAAGGGACTATAAAAGGGGCAAGAGTGAAGCGATTAGGAGGCAGCACACGAAGCCAAGAGGGAGATGATGGAGTCTGAGATCAGGGTGGCACCCCTGGAGGAGCTGGAAGCCATCAGAGCTGCCGTACTGCTTAGGAAGCTAAGCCCAGGTGTGGGTAGGGAATTCGGGAAGTTCAGCCTATTCCCTCAAAGGCTTCGGGGAATTTCAGTTCCCTATCCTCCCACTGCCCACATTTCCAGGAAGGTTTTGGGGCCTGTACAGAGGGCTGTCCTGGCTGCCACCCGCTGACCTGCTTCTTGATGCCTCTCTGCTGGCCAAGAGTAGTTGAAGAATCGAAGTCTGAGAACCGTTAGGCTTTTGAGTAAATAAGCACAGACGTAAGGTTACATCTCTACCACTCCTCAGCATCTTCATCTTCACCAGCTTTCTAGAGCGGAAGAGAAAGGGTGGAGGCAGCCGCGGCACGCGGCGCCTTGTATCTGCGCCCTGCTCACCCCAGGAGGAGCATTCTGAATTACATTTTGAATCATGGCTCCCCAGTAAAGTGAAGGTCTCATGCACATGTGGAGCATGTGTGCGATTTTGCTTTTCTTCCCACTAAGACTCTCTGGGTTTTCATTGGGTAAACGTGGGGGTGTGTCTTGCATGTGACCTTGCCAGCCACGTGCGTCTCTCAGTGGGAAGAAGAGGTTTTCTGTGGGAAAGCGCATGGTGCAGAATGAGTCATTGTAGGATTTCAGAGGGTGCTGGACAGAGGAAAAAAGGGGCCATATTTAAAACAACAAAGAGCTTCCTGGTTTGAAATTGATAGCATAGCACTGAAAAGAAACAAAACTTACCTCTAGACCACGTTCCTAAACCATTTCTTCAACTTGAGTGTTAAAGCTTGAAATTAGGGTGTTTCTTAGGCTTTTGTACACTTGGGGAGGAAAAGAGTTGTTGTTAGAACCTGGTTCTTGGCCAGGGAAGCTCTTCCTAAGGGAGGACTTCCCCAGGAGAAAGGGAGGGAACCGGCGGGGCATGTGGTAGGTGTTCTGTGAACATCTGCTGAACGTATGGAAAATGGCCTGGCTCTCCCTTCATTGGTTCATTCATTAAGTAGACATCAAATGAGCTACTGCTGTGCCCGGACACCGTGCTAGGTGCTGGATGAACATCACCAAATAGCACAGATACTGTGCCTGCCATCGTGGCACCCAAGGGGAGGACAGACAGGGACAAATGCATGACAAATTGTGATCAGGGATGTGAAGGGGCCAGACCAGGTGCAGTGATGGACAGTGCAAGCAGGCAGAGGCCACCTCCATCAGGAGGTGTTGACCTCTTGATGAGAAAGCCCTGTAAGAAGGCAAAGCTCTGGGTAAAGTATAGACTCTACTTTTAATTATTTTTTTCTTCCAGTTTTATTGGGATGTAATTGACATATAGCCCTGTGGAAATTTAGGAGGCACAGCATAATGATCTGACTTACATGCGTCATGAAAGGATTTTACCACAATAAGTTTAGTGACCATCCATCACCTCATACAGATACAACATTAAAGAAGTAGAATGAGAGTCTACCTTGAGCGGTGCGTTTGGGGAGGGAGCTGGGGTGGGTAAGGAGAGTGTTTAGAGAGAACCCTTGTAGCCTCAACCCTGCCTCTGCTGAATCAGGCTGTTTAGAAATACACGATGTCCCGCTGGAGAATGTGGGCCCAGCCGTCCCGCCTCCCCGGTTAATTCGGGTCCCCTCATGTCTTACAGCTGCTGCAGGATTCAGGTCCATAGCCGAAGAAGAAGATGCACTGCTCAGACATTTATTCCAAGGTTACCAGAAATGGGTTCGCCCTGTATTACAATCTAATGACACCATAAAAGTATATTTTGGGTTGAAAATATCTCAGCTGGTAGATGTGGTGAGTAATCTTCGGCCCTCAGCTGCAGAGAACATGCATTCCTTCACCCATTCTCGAGGCTAAAATTTGATTTTGTTTTCTTTCCACATGTCTGCCATTTCAGTTTTAAAAATAAAACCTGCCCCAAGAAGCCAGTGAAATGACCCGTGGAAAGAATGAGAACGTCATTTTCATTGCAACACTGTTGGTGGGGTGTGGGTGGCGTGGAGGAGGGACTTTTTCCTCTGGGGGGGGGGGGTGGGATGTGCCTGCTAGGAGGGCATCACCCTTGGCAGTTCTGCTGGAGCCCCCAAGGTGAGCATCAGGGTGAGGGGCCGGGCTGCAGAGGTGGGGCTGAGCCAGGGCTGGCAGGGCTGCTTGCGGGGAGGGACAGCAGATGGTGACAGCACCAGAGTGAGTGCCTGGGTGACCCCATCCCCTCCCGGATCCCCTCAGGACCCCATACCTTTCCCTGACACACCACGCCTTAACGTTCTCTACTAATTTTCCTGTCGGGCTCACATTTCTGCCATGATGTCCCTGGGGAAATCCATGAACTTCAACAACCCCGATTCTGCAGAATCATTCTGCTGTGGTCCCCAAAGTCACAGAATAATCCTCCATTGCCCAAATCTCCACCCCACTACAAGTGCACGCACACATCCCCCCCCAGCTGACTCATCGCCCAGGATTCCTTCTAGAAAATCATGCAAAGCCCATCTCCCATTTAGCTAATACTTCATTCTACTTCACACCCTTACCATGCCTTTGGTTATGCAATTTTATATAAATATCACCACAGTGAACTACTACTTGCTCTAATTATTATTTTTCATTTTAAGTAAAATATGCATAATGCTTTAGGGTCTCAATGACATTTAACTGCTCTTCAGTTGAGAATCCTTTTCACTTTGGACCCCTCAAAGGTAAGACTCAGGAAGTCTCGGACAAAAAGAAAAATCCAACACACAGTTTCACTTAATTTTTTTAGTTTCTGCTTTATAACAAAGTGAATCAGTTATACATATACATACATATATCCCCATATCTCTTCCCTCTTG